TATATATATATATATATATATATAACATATATACCAGATCTTATCGGCATCGTTCTAATATACACAAACTATTACTAAGACAATATTACGAATTTATACTATAATTCTATAAAAGAAATATCATGCAAGACTTTTAATGTTTAATATTATGCTTAGTATGCTTTATAATATAAAACTTTTTCCCCCAGCCACGCTAATTAATCATAATCTGTCAAACACCAATGTCCGGTTGTGAGGAACATATTTACATATTACACCACATTTAAGTTCTCTATAGCATGAGAACTGAATCTATTAATGCTAACTAACTGTCGCCTTAATCTCAAAATAACAACTTGACTGCGTATCCACTAAAATATAGAGCTACGTACCTGTCGCATGAAAATTTGATCTAATGCTAATCTAACTGCATGCTTCGTTCTCAAATTTGACTGCGTATCCGCGTATCCACTAGAATATAAAGTTAGCTTTAACATTATCATGACAATTTAAGCTATTAATTCTAAGTCGCTGTATGCCTCTTAGCACAGTTTATAGACTAAGAGTCTATAAACTGTGCTCTTAGCTACCTTTACCACCATGGGATTTTAATCTATCAATCTAATTATAGGCCTACTCTGGGGCGGTAAATCGCCTTAAATCGCCTTAAATCGCCTAAAATCGCCCAAAATCGCATTAAATCGCGGGTTAAAATGGTCAAATTTCTCTTAAATCGCCTAAAATCGCTTTAAATCGCCTAAAATCGCTTAAAATCATGGGCGTACTGGGTGGGGGAGGGGGGACGGGGCGACCGCACCCCCCCCCAGTTTCTGTCTGGGCAGTCGCCCCCCTGGCTTTGTTGGGCAAACAATGCCAGCCGGGCAATATTCGCTTCACTGTCTGGCAATATTGGTTTATTATAGAAATAAATGGGACAAATCCTGTCAATTTTGTGGGAAATTCTGTCAATTATGTGGGAAATATGCTATCCAATAGGAATTTTTTGTAATCACTTCTCGCCCCCTCCCCCAATCACTTCTTTCCAACCCCCTAATATTTTCCTTCCCGTACGCCCATGCTTAAAATCGCATTAACTCGCCAACATGCATTCTGTTTGATACATTCAGTCAATAATGTACTCAAGTTTATCAATTGCTGCTATTTTGCTGGCAAATCATGTATAATCCAGGTGTTTTGCAATCAAAAGTAATGCAACATGGATAAATCAAATAAGTGGATTAGGCTGACAGTATTTAGTCACTCATTAGGCTCCGGTCGTTAATAAAAACAGAGCCTTTTTCTGCTTTATGCAGACTTTACAATAATTAGGCAATTCTGGGATATGAAAGACCCATAGATTCCATTACACTACCAGCAACAAAATTGAGTTACTGGTTAATTTCATTATTGTCGTAAAATGTGGAGGCTGGGCTACAATTTATATGGACTATGGTGGCTGGGCTACAAATTAATCTATAATATACATGGCTTCTCAAAGCCTAATTGCTGTTAGAACAACAGTAGGAGACTATGATAATGAGAGTCAATGAGTACGAGTATATAATAAGGTCATCCTGCAATTTATGCACTGTTGCATGTAGATCGAGCACTGCATTGTATACAATGGTTGTATTTCGACATGTGCATGGTTATACTCAAGCTCCTAGTTATAATTATATTGGCTATCATACGAAAAACATACGTGAGGTTTAATATGAGCGAGATTTGCAAGTTTTGCAACTCTCATCTATTAAATTTTCCAGATCTGTATATAAAATAAACAGTAAAACAATTATTACATCGTACATACCATACAATCTTTGTTGTTACTTGTTTGCAGAACAAATTATCAGGTAAAAGACTTATGTAAAACCACGATGTAGTGCGCCGTATAATTTTGTTTAGTATTTTTTTTTAATAATTTAGAATTCCGACCATTTATATGCGATGTACTTCATGTAAATTAAACTTTACGGCATTACGCCGACAGTTTCCGAATGCGTGACAATACTGTTTCAAACTGTTTCTGGATATAGATATCAAACATAATTTTATAAAACATGTTTGTTGAAACAGTTTAAATAAAATGCAAGCTAAATAAAGAAGTGTTGACAAGATACAAAACGTAATTTATAGGAATATAGCTTATTGTAACTCTATAAATATATTGTGCGTTTCTACTCCCTGTGGGCTATGGTTCTTTTGGAAATCGAATATCTATTATATTTTGCAATTAATAATATTAACGTTTAGCCTAAGACATGTGTAGTTTAGTTATAGGTTGGTATTTTGCAATTATGTACCGTACATGCCCCTTAAGTAGAGTATATTTATTAACTGTTTACAATATTTGTGGTATAATGTAGCCATGAATGCATGACCACATGACCCCACAAGATGAACTCTAATGGCTTCTAAATAAGACAATGGTGAAAAGTTCACGAATATTGAGCTTTATATATGATTCGGATTAAATACAATAATTATTAACCTAGCTTTATATAAAATGTACATACATGTTCTAATAATTGTATTTTGTTTCATACAATGCATATGTGTCAATGTGTGTGAAAACATTACATTATTCAGCTCACTCCCCTTTGGGGCTTTTCAGTCACCGCTTACATAAAGTATTAGGGTTACTTATGTTAGTCTAGACTATATATCTTTATAACAATGAGAATATGATATCACTTTTCTAATTGTTTTTATTCTAACCCACCCTGCCATATTTTGCCTTGTGGGAGAAAACCGGAGAAAAATATAAAATTCAATTACCTTGAAAAACAGGTCTAAATTGCAATCCCTAAAATTTAGAATTTTCTCTTAAATCGCATTAAATCGCCTAAAATCGCTTTAAATCGCAGTGCTTCAAAGTCGTGTTCAGATTTTGACATTTCAACCAAGCAATACTGATTTTGAAATCACCAACTGCGTGCGCAGGACACACAAGGAAGGCGCATCTAATAAGAAGAGTATCCGCTGAATATTTTGTTTAAGGGCGCGGGTCAATGATGCGTACGACTATCAATGAGGAGTCCGCCTGTCTACGGAAAAAAAAAATTGCATCGTCGCCACCTTCTCTGTATTTGATGTTTCTTTTGTTATTTTGTATTTTACTGTTTGCTTTGCTGTGCGGTGGATAAAATCCTTGAAATCGTTGAAATTTGGATTCGTTCATCATTACGGGACGCATATTGCCATTGTATTAATAAACCAGTCTTCGATTAGCGGTGACGTTTCATTTTAATCATATGTTTTAATTCATCAGTGAGTATTTCAATCATAATAAATCAATGACAAAGGAGGTCGTATCGAGTGTAATTTATATATACGTTTATTAGACCTAATTATAGGAACAGCTGCGATAAATCAACTTTAATTTTGGTCCCGGGCAGGAATCGATTTTTTTTCACCCACTGAAGAAGCCTTAACCGGCGAAACGTCTGGGTTATAGTCATTATATCTTTTTTATGCCTGAGGAAGTTCTTGTTTTATTTTAAAAAACACCATTCATATATATATATATATATATATATATATATATATATATATATATATATATATATATATATATATATATATAGATATATATATAGATATATATATATGAAAAGGTTAAAAAGAATTTCTTCAGGCATAAAATTGGAATAAAAAGATGTTAAAAATATTTTATTTTCCAGACGTTTCGCCGGTCAAGGCTTCATCAGTGGAATATTACTTATTACAATATATACGTCTATTATATACAAGCTAGTCTATTAAAAATTCATGAATAAAATAAAAAATTATAAAATCTATTGAAATGTCAATTAGCTACGAGTCCGGTCAAGCAGTGTTTGGTTAATTAAATACTAATTGTTCTACCTATGCAACCGTTCATAATATTTTTGCTACGGTTATGTATTTCAAAGGCTTCGATACATTTGCGTTCTTCTTGGTAGGCTATATTTCTATGTAGTATTTTCCAACTTATGTCGGATTGATCTGGTCGTCTACTCTTATGAGATTCTATATGTTTGTACACAGTTTGTTTGTCCATTTTTAAGTGTTCCTTAATTCGCGATCCAATTGTTCTACCGGTTTCTCCAACATATACAATTCCGCAACTTGAACATATGATTTCATAAATGACGTTCTTTATCATACACTGTTTAGGTTTACTTGCTGATTTACATGTTTCGCAATCTTCCCGACAGCTTGCTCTATCTCTGGGTGGGGCAAATACTCGTGATGAAGGTCTGCCGTTCATGAAATGAATTTTGACATTGTTGATTCCTGATCTACGTATTACTGAAAGGGCACGTCGTTTAAGTTCTTCGTTAATATAGGGAAGTTTCACATAGATATTTTCTCGTTTGTCATCCTTACGTGGTTTATTGCGTGTTGTGTGTCTTATTGTATCCCTAACAAACCTTCTAGGATATCCATTGTTCACGAACAATGTAAAGACCTTATTAAGAGATTCTTTACAATGAGTGGGGTTCGTAGAGCAACCAATGGCCCTTCTGGTTTCACCCACAAGAATGGCCCGCTTAGATGCTACTGACCCATGACTATCCCACGGCGTGATGCATTTGCTGTGAATGGGTTTGGTATAAAGTGTAGCTGAGAAAGATTTAGCTGCGGGATTATAAGATACCAAAGTGTCTAGGAATGGCAGTTGGTTGTTATTAGGCATCTCTAGAGTAAACTTAATGGCATCATTAAGTTCATTAGCTATTGTCAACAATCTCTCTCCGGACATCTCTTGTGACATCAAGAAGGCAAAATAATCATCGATGAATCGCTTTAGTTTTACGCGACCCCCCGCTCCGTCCGTAATTAAGAAATCAATTTCATTCATATAAATGATGGCTAAAGTTGGGGCAAGATTGTTTCCCATGGCCAAACCCGAATTTTGCTTATAGGCGTTGCCTCCAATTAAAACGTTATCGCTTGTTAGACATAAACGGATAAGTTTATCAAAATCTTCATCACTTAAACAGGATAGTTCACAATCACCTTTGTATTGACTGAAGAAACGTTTGGCCACCGTAAATACGCTGGGTGTTCTATTATTGATGTCTTTAAGAGGTATAGAGCCGTATAGGTTGCGTACATCGAGACTACAAAAACCATGAATTAAATCACCGTCTATACTAGATAATGTGGCTATGAATTCTTGAGTATTCTTAAGATGCGCTGGTACATGACAAAGGAGTGTGTTTAATGACTTGGCCAGGAATTTGGACAATGCTGTAGCCGGTGTATCGGTAGCGGCATGAATCGGTCTACCTTTTAGATCTCCTTCTTTATGATCTTTTGGGAGGCAGTATACAGGACAGGGCATGGGTTCGCTGCATATATTAGCCTTTAAAGCTGCATATAGCTTGGGATCTTGGGTTTTATACTTATTTGCTATATTATTAAGCTTACCGTTGAAGTTGATTTGCTCTGTCCGCGGGAGATTTTGTCTCTTCAACACTGTATAATTACCGGTTTCGATAGTGGATTTATCAACCATATCGTGATAACATGTAGAATCTAACGCAATCAGTCGTTTGGATTTGTCTGAGGGAGTGATGACGATATTGTCAGGAGGTGGTTTATAATGTAGTTTCTTGTGTTTCAATATATTAGGCCCAGACTGTATACATTCACTGATAATACGCGCCATACCTCCCTTGAATTCATTAATGGCATTCTCGGGTACATCTTCTTGATTTAGTTTGTCTGTTACTAATTGTAGATTGGCTTTGGCAAGTAAACAAAGCTTCGACAAGTCTTTGGGTTCTGCGTTAACAAATGATGGTCCTTTGTTCAAAACGTTAATAAGATCCGTGTCCAATGTTTCTTTAGATAGGTTTTTAAAACCTTGCGGCTTTTGTTCTGTGTAGTTTTGTTTGTCTCGACGTTGGTGAAGCAGTTGTTGGAGTTTGCGTTGCTTGGTTTGTTGAAGGGAATCTTGAAAGTTAATCATTTTATCATAGATTTTATAATTTTTTATTTTATTCATGAATTTTTAATAGACTAGTTAGTATATAATAGACGTATATATTGTAATAAGTAATATTCCACTGATGAAGCCTTGACCGGCGAAACGTCTGGAAAATAAAATATTTTTAACATCTTTTTATTCCAATTTTATGCCTGAAGAAATTCTTTTTAACCTTTTCAAATATTCACCGGGCATGTTACCTACAACCCTTTCATATATATATATATATATATATATATATATATATATATATATATATATATATATATATATATATATATATATATATATATAAAAATTAAGGTACAACAAATCAACAAAATCCACTAGGCAATAAAGAGTAATAAAGATGCATATTATTAGGATCTTTAGTAATAAAGATGCCTAGTGGATTTTGTTGATTTGTTGTACCTTAATTTAAATATGAGCACTTTGCCAAAAGTTTTTATAACCAACAAAACCAAATTTTATATATATATATATATATATATATATATATATATATATATATATATATATATATATATATATATACATATATACCAAATATGTATTTAGAATCATATATGAGTAGAGTGCTCGATATACCGAAGTATAGAGCTAATAAAGATAAAGATAAAATAAACCTGGTTTACTTCATAAGATTTATTCACTACAAACTGCAATACTTTCTCGAGATTATAATCGTGCTCAACAATGTCACGTCCCCAAACTAGTATGTCGTCGACAAGGATCTCACTTCTGATGCTGTATTTATACCAAACGGCTTTCGCAGATATCGAAATCTTCCAAATGGTTACCAAATGTGGTCAGCATCGATGACTTCTCGTCTAGCGTAATCTGCCAAAATCCAGATTTTGCATCTTAGGTAGAAAACACTGTGGCACCTGCCATACGAGCAGCAACACTTTCGACTGTTCTCATTGGATAATGAGATCTCTTCAAAGCTAGATTCAGGTTTCGTGGATCTAGACAAATGCGCGTTTCGCCATTTTTCTTTCGTGTAGCTACCATCTGCGATACCCACTCAGTTGACTCCAAGACTGGGGCGATTACCTTCTTCACTGTATGGTCAAGATCTTTTTTTCACATTTTTTTCCATTGCGATTGGTATTTTGCGTGGTGGGTTTAATTTATTACGGGTGTTACGTAGTCAACTTTCATGGAGTAAACGACTGCATGGTAATTATCCAAGGTTGTCATCGAAAAGATCTCTGTGCTTCTCCATAACCTTGTCTCTGAACTCGCCGCTTGTTTGAACTTCGTGAATGCGTTCGTTTTGCTTAATAAGATTCGTTTTCAATGAATCCTCTAAACCAAAAGGTGATGCGACAGGCTTATCCGCGATCTGAAATTCTAACCTATGTATTGTTGAATTAATATGACAATTCATCTCTACAGTACTCAGAGTTGAAAAGGTATAGCCCCCATAAGCTACCAAATCTACTGACTTTGACTGATTTATTAATAATTTCATGATTTATTAATAATGCCATTACATTGCATCTTGCCCCCGTATCAATTTTTAGTTCCGCATTATGACCATTGATTTTAGTTGTACAATAAAGTTCCTTAATTGTTATTGTGCGCCACTTTTGGACCTTCGATTGTCTCAATAATGTATAATTCTTTATCACTTCCTTCGGGGGAATACTTAAGTGCTAATATTACATCAACGCTAGGCTTTCTATCACATAGAAACGACCCGGACGCTTTTGAAATTTTCATAGGACCTTTTTGGTAGAATTTTGCAGAATAACACACTTTTTTGAAATGGTTTGACTTCCCGCCAGCCTAGTCCCAGACTCTCTCTCTCTCTCTATTCGCTGCTTTGACATATTTAAATAAGTCTTAAAAGTTTTATGGCTGGGTGTGCTGTGCGGAACGCTTCAGCGAGAGAGCCTAGCAGATTTCGGTAAAATGGTCCCTGATTTCAAAAAAGTGGTCCCTGACCTGGTTACCAAGCATGCCGCATTCGTAAATAGAAAATGTTACGGAAATTTCCTTTGCGTTTATAATTAAGTCATTAGTTTTGCTCTAATGCTGTCGGAACATTAGAGAGTTTTAGCTTGACGTTCACGGCAAACGTCAAACCGCCTACGAAGTTTCTGATTTTACAACTCTATTATAACAGCTTTTACACTAATTTTGAAATATAAACAATTATTTAACTTGTGCTCTTTAGCAATGATTTAAAAGAAAGCAAATTAACTACTAGTCACGTATTCCCGAAAGCAGTAAATTAAGATTTGGCGTTTGAAGTTTACGTTTGGCGTATAAATTTCATGCTTTAACGACTATACAAGCCCTCATAGCAGTTCAAGCATGAAATTTATACGCCAAACGTAAATTTCAAACGCCAAGTCTTAATTTACTGCTTTTGTGAATACGTGACTAGTGGTGAATTTGCTTTCTTTTAAATCATTGCTAAAGAGCACAAGTTTAATGATTGTTTATATTTCAAAATTGGTGCAAAAGCTGTTAATATAATAGAGTTGCAAAATCAAAAACTTCGTTAGCGGTTTGACGTTTGCCGTAAACGTCAAGCTAAAACTCTCTAATGAAATAGGCTACGTTTCTAAGGCTACTAAATCTGACTCGTGTTTACTAAAATATAAAGCCAAAAAATGCTATCTAGAAGCTTGAAAATTATGCCGAGTCTCCGACTAAAAATGTATTGACAACACAGTAATGTCAGGCAAATATTTCCAATCTCCTCAGCTACTTAAACTTGTCAAGTAGAAAGCGTAGTTGTGTATACCAGTATGGTCTAGTGTTGATAACAACACGAGTATATAAATAACATCAACGATTATATATTGTATATAATTTTTTTTAATTGAGCACATTTTTAGTACATTTTGAATTTGGTTATGTATTCATCGAACATGATCAACGAACATTGTCGTATTTACAAGGTTATTTGTATTTCAGGTCATTGAACACCCAACACGAATTACTGATAGCACTGCAACTCTTCTGGATGTAGCGATTGTAAGTCACCCCGAAAATATTTTGCAGTCGGGCGTTTTACATGTTGGCATTAGTGATCACAGTCTGATCTATATCTGTAGAAAAATTTCCTTTAGCCTTAATAGTAATCATAATAAAGTTATCGAGTCAAGGGATTATAAGAGTTACCTGCAACAAAACTTTAACCAAGATCTGTATGCTGCGTTGTCATTGGTAGATTGGGAGACTGATGAGCCAAATATACTATGTGACAACTTTAAGACAACTGTCAATTATGTTGCTGATATTCATGCACCGAGAAAAGTTCGCAAAATTAGAAGCCGGAAATCGCCTTGGCTAACGGACGCAATTAAGAAAAATATAATCTATAGAGATTTCCTAAAGAAAAAAGCAATTAAAACAAATTCAGCTACGTTTCATAATGCATATCGAAGTCTCGGTAACAATATTAATTAACAAACAAATTATCCATGCGAAGCGGAACTATTATACAAATTGTATTGAAAGAAATAAGAATAATAGCAAACAAATGTGGAAGAATATTAATCATCTGATTAACAAAAGACCAAAGTCGTCAAACATTCCAGCACTTGAAATTAACGAGTAAGTGTTAGTAGAAGATTCCAATATTGCAAATTTATTTAATGATTATTTCGCTGACATTAGATCGACTTTATCAAGTCAGATTGCTGAATCCAGTGTGAGTTTTGAAAGATATATGAAATTTACAGCTCAAAACCAGTTTATTTTTAAAAACATCCAAGTTCAAGATGTAGTTAATGAAATTGGTAAAATAAATGTGTCAAAATCCACAGGACCAGATAATATTCCGGCCAAATTTTAAGAGATTCAAAAGACGTAGTGGCCCCCTTTTTGGCACTTATTTTCAATACTTCTTTAAATAATTGCATTTTCCCAGACGATCTTAAAACGGCAAGGGTTTCTCCAATATATAAGTCTGGAAATAGGAAAGTGCGGGGTAACTACCGGCCTATTTCTGTACTTTCAGTTATTGCAAAATTATTTGAGAAACTTATCTGCGAGCAACTCAATCTATTTCTGGAAGAAAATAAGATTTTAAGTTCATGTCAGTCTGGTTTTCGCAAAGGTCATTCCACCACATCTGCTCTTTTAGAAAATACTGATTCGTGGCTACTGAATATGGATGCTGGTAGGATAAACGGGGTGCTTTTTCTTGATTTATGCAAAGCATTCGACACAGTCGATCATGCCATCCTCATAAAAAAGTTATCTAATTACGGGATACAAGACAAGGCACTAGAATGGTTTAAATCATATTTGTTTAACAGGGAACAATACTGTAAGGTAAATAGAGCAACATCGTCCCCTCGGAAGTTAAATTGCGGGGTTCCACAGGGGTCAAACCTTGGCCCTCTTTTATTTTTGATATATGTCAATGATCTTCCAAACTGTTTGGAAAATTCACATGCCGCAATGTATGCTGATGACACAAATATAACTGTTGGTTCAGATGGTCTTAATAATTTGGAAAAAACCCTCAATCATGAAATGAGCAATATTCATCAATGGCTCGTCTCAAACAAATTAACATTAAACGTAGAAAAAACAGAGTATATGGTCATTGGAACTCACAAAAGATTGAGTAGATTTTCGCAAGATATCACAGTGTCCATTGATGGCAAAGTAATTAAACAAGTAAACTCAAAGAAAACTTTGGGCGTTATAATTGATGAAAATTTATGCTGGGACAAGCAAATTGAGAACATCAGTAAAAAAGTTTCAAAAGACATTGGCATGTTACGCCGAATTAAACCATTTGTTTCAATTGGAACTCTTACCTATCTCTATCAAGCTTTGGTTCAACCACATTTTGATTACTGTTCAATGGTTTGGGGTAACTGTGGCAAAACCTTAAAAGGGATGTTACAGAGACTCCAAAACCGAGCGGCAAGGGTTATTTCAGGCGACTCATATGAAGTACGCTCCCTTGACATTTTGAGTAAACTGAACTGGAAAACGTTAGAAGAAAGGCGAAATGAGCAGCAATTAAAATGTGTATCTAAGGGTCTTGCATGCCAATGCCCTGAAAACATTTCGAACATGTTTATAATGTCCAATTCTGAACGATACGACTTAAGAAGCAACAATAGCAAGCTTGTACTAGCGAAACCAAAAACTAATTCTTTGAAAAGAACATTCAGATATGCTGCTGCTAAAGTCTGGAACCAAAGTGTCAGTTAACTTAGTAGTAACTGTATTTTTTACACTTTTTGGGAGGGCTTCACTGGCGGGAGGAGGGGTAGTCAGTTAAATAAATAGTAACTGTATCTTTTACACTTTTTGGGAGGGGTTCACTGGGGGAAGGAGGGGGCGTTGTAGTTTGTGTTCATCACGGCCTAATGAAAAGCAACCTTTCGATTTGTAAATAT